AATAAAATGGTCGCTGTTCAGAAAAGGCAAAATATTAACAGAGTAAAGTGTCTCAATTATCTGGTTTAGATACAATGTTTTTTATATGCTTGCATGTGTTTCAGGAAAAGATTTGAACCAGAAGACCATAGAGTTGACACAGATTTTAGTTTACACTAAATTAAAGAAACCCCAAGGAACTTCATAGGTATTTTATCAGGTACTATCATGGTGAAAAAACACAGTTTGACAAATAGCATATCAAAATAAGTAACTTTCGCTATTCTCGCCAACAGATACATTCTAGGGAAAAGAAAGCTGCAAGAGAAAACACAGCAAGAGACGCCACGGACAGCTCATGAAAACTGCTTGATGTGATGTCCTGACAAAAGAGAAGCAAGCTAGCAAGATGTTAAGATAGAAAACAGCACCATAATTACTGTAATGTGCTTGTTATATTAATCAGCCATGATCTGGAATGCACAGTCATTCCAGTTTTACATACAGTAGCACAGTGCCCTTCTTATGGGCTGCTAGCGCAATGCAGCCTTGCAGAGGGATCTAGATAGACTGGAGCGTTGGACAGTGATTAATGGGATGAAATGTAACAAGTCCAAATACCAAATTCTGCATCTAGGATGCAGTAACACTGGGCACAAATATAAATTGGGAGTGGAGTGGCTGGAGAGCAGCCCTGCAGAAAGGGATCTGGGGGTGCTGCTCGACAGCAGGCTCAGTATGAGTGTGCCCTGGCAGCCAAGAGGGCAAACCGCATCCTGGGATGTACCAAACACAACATGACCAGCTGGTCAAAAGAGGTGACTATCCTATTTAGCATTGGTGCAGCCTCACCTTGAGTACTGTGTGCATTTTGGTGCCCCGCAATTTAAGAAGAATGTTAAGGGACTGAAATGCATCCAGAGGAGGGTAACAAAGATGGTGAAAGGGCTGGAAGGAATGTCCTGTGAGGAGCAGCTAATGAGTCTGGGTTTCTCTGGTTTGGAGAAAAGGGGGCTGAGAGGCGACCTCATTGCTCTCTACAGCTTCCTGAGGAGGGGGAGTGGGGAGAGAGCTGCTGGTCTCTTCTCCCTGATATCCAATGATAGGATGTGTGGGAATGGTTCAAAGCTGTGCCAGGAGGTTTAAACTGGACATTAGGAAACATTTCTTTACTGAGAAACCCTGGAACAGGCTTCCTAGAGATGTGGGTGATGCCCCAACCTGTCAGTGTTTAAGAGGCATTTGGACAATGCCCTTAATAACATGTTTTAACTTTTGGTCAGCCCTGAATTGGTCAGGCAGTTGGACTAGATGGTCATTGTATGTCCTTCCGAATGAAAATTATTCTATTCTATTCTATTCTATTCTATTCTATTCTATTCCATCCCATTCCATTCTATTGCAGAACCACTTGAGGCAGTCCTTCTATGGTCAGAGCAAAAAGGGAAAGACGAGGTTTGGACTTTAGGATTTCTTCCCATATCTGAAGACTAACTTACATTTACAGTTTAAACTGTCACATGTAATGAGAATATTCTCTGAGGTACCGTGATAAAGAAGGGATCATTATGGGCTACTGCGGGAGGGATTATTGCTGTGGTTCATGTCGGAGCGAGTACTTGGGAGAAGCAGACTTAGAATCCCATAAATTATGGGAGACACATGCATAGTTCCACCTGAAATATGCAACAGCTCCACATTTACGATGAAGATTACAACATGGCAAGCACATGCCCAAACTACTCATGTTGGACCACACAGATACATGCCAGGAAGGATCCAAATGGTACACTGTTATGGCATAATAGTGCTGTGCCTAGATCAATATACCTCACCTCTCAAGGGGATTTTATAGATTAAGCACAGCACTGGACTAAATGTGGCCAGATGCCTCCCAAGATGCTGGCTTCCAGCTGGATGCTTACCGCATCGGCATAAAAAGACTTGCATATATGTATGCGTGCAAGACCATGCAAACATATCTATACACACAAGGGTGGAAAATAGTTCAAGAACAAGGAATTTAAGCTTGAGGATCTCTATGAATATTTTTCCAACAGGTGGAACAACATGTCATGCCCTAGCTAAGCTGACAAACAGTTAGGCCAGAGTGTTTAAACTACCAAACGGGGAAATCTCTCAGCCAGACTTGTGGAGTAAAAGAGGAAGAAAAAAATTAGCAGATAAACGGTGACCAAATATTATGGTATAGACCCTGAAGGACAAAGAACTAAATTATTAGGATAAAAACACATGAATGTATAAGGAGAGAAATCAAAGTAATAAGGAGGTAACCTGAGATAGGCAAATACATGTGTGGGAGCTGTACAAAAATGCAACTGCAAATAAAAGATCCAGGGCACATACGGTAGAAATTCTGGTATTACAGACAAGTGAGAAAAGAAGAAATCCTGCTGCATATCAAAGTATGCAGTTTCAATTAATATTGAAAAATAGAGAAAATAAAGAGAAAAGCCATGGGAAAATCCATCCAAAAATTAAATTAGATTTTGGATAATCACAGAGGGTTTTTAAATCTATAAAAAAAAGGCATTTTGGCAGCATGTGGAATTTAAACAAATGTTGGAATTTACATATCACCAACCCAACAGCCGATTAGACAGATGAGGGAGTTCTGGGCAGGCATCAGAAAATTTGCAGCAACCCTCCAAAAATACAACCAGCCAAAGCAGGGGTCATAGCTCTTTCAAGGACAGCTAACTCTCAGGTCCGATCAGCTTTCAAGCATACCTCTTCACTGCTCCAGAGAACTGGAGTTAGGCTGGGACTAGCTATAAGAGCTGACCATTCCCACTCCCTGATACCCTTGTCTGAACTAACAGAACGTATTCTCTCCTCTGTCTAGAGGGCCAGCCAAGACAGAACTGCTTGGAGACAGCCTGGGATTTGTAATTTTAAATGTGAATACTTCTTGGACAGTTACAAATAAATCACTCAAGTCCAAGCCCCTCTGCCTCTCTCCATGGAGAATTCCTGATCAGGGAAGGGTATCAGATAAGTCACCTTTTTTCATTAAGCTTCACTCAGCTTCCTTAATGAATATTCTGAATCTTCCTGGCAGATTTTTCTCTGCAATACAATAATAGATGGATCTATTAATAATAAACTTTATTAAAACCTCCCTTTGTCGTGGCAAGTTCCCTACTTCAAGCAAAATCCAGGTATTTTCCTATTTCTTAGTGGGCATCACTCATTGCTGTTTTTCTCACTATGCTTAAAACATTCTCTTCTAAAGAGATGGTCAGACTGAAAGAATGCCAAGAATCAGCTTTTGTGTTTCCTAGTTTCTTCTAATTGCATCAGTCTCGTTTAAATGAAGGTGTAAGAAAGACACTAACCTGATTTCTCTGGCTGAGAAGCTCCTCGCAGACACCTTACAAAAGTATTCAATGTCTTTATAAACAAAAGTTTTTGTTCTGGGGAATTCATTTTCCTCTTCCCTGCAGTAGGGCCTCTTTTCTTCTTTTTAATCTTATCTCCTACTACTTCGTTCTTTTTTGCTTTTGTACTTGGAGTTATGCTTGATAAATTATTGACCTCAACATTTTATTTATGTTTTTTTTCAAGTCTTTATGTCTGTTTTTCCCTCTTGCTAAACTTTTTCCTTCATTCTGTTTATTTGCTTTTGGATGGTATCAGTTTTTTGGTTTTCTGCTGTTTTCAGAAGCAAGCTATCTCATTGAAAATGCAGTTATTGGCTGTTGCTTCTTCTTTCTCTTTTTCCCTTCAATACTCTCCCTCCAAAGAGAACAGAACCATAAAACCTCTGAGGTCAAGTAGGCTTTGAAAATGCTCATCATAGTGAGAAAAAAAAGAGTAGATTGCTGTTCTTTGGAACTTTTTGTATACATAAAGAAGGGAACCTCAGCACAAGAGGAGGTGAGTGATTTTCAATAACATGACATAAACCAAAATAAGCAGTCCGAAAAACTAAGAGAGGTCTACGGAAGTGGTGCATTACTTAACTTAAACAGGAAGATGACTCAAAATTTCTTCTTGGCTGTTTTTTCAGTCCTACCAGTTAGCTTGGAATACTGCATGTGTTGGTAAACTGCAAAATTCCCTTGGGAATTATGTGTTATTTTGCGCCACTGCTTGTATTGGATTTTATGTTTGGCCTTATTTTTGCAAGAACTCTCACAGGTCTGATCATACAGTGAAAGTTACCTATCTGTAGATATCTGATATTCTCCCATATATGAGGAAGACAGTCAACAAGCTCAACAGATATAATTTTCACAATGCTTTATAAAAGGGCCTACAAGAGAATCCCATTTAAAAAAAAAAAAAAACCACAAAAACCCCTACTTCTTTTTACTGTTCAGACATGAAGTTTAAGTAAGGTCTTAAGTGAACACCTAGGATAATTAGCTTCTGATGTTTCATTTTATTGACATTTATTGGCTACCTAAGGGAAGGGAAAAGCTCCAATGTATGGATTATGCAGTAGATGGGATCACAGGTTTTATTTTCACCTTGACATTTACTCATTGTAGACGGTGGATCAACTACTTAGACAAACATTCTCCAGCTTCAAAAGTTCAGTCTGAAAACCTATGACACAGCTTTCATATGTGCTGAACACCAACCTTTTTCATTGATCCTACATGAGCGACGGAGGTATTTAGCACATTGCAAGTGATCAAAAGGTATCATGCAAAACTGAGCTCATACTGTAGCATTAAAACGGAAAGAAATTGTTACCAATTCTACTTCGTTCTTCAAGGCATTACCCATGTCTTGTTCTATAATTACCATCCCATTGCTTAAATACCTTCATTTTGAAAAATGACATTAGGGAAATACCTATACATGTACATCACAAATCATTTCCCATCGATTTTTGTTAAAAGCTAGAAAGTCTGCATAAATAGTTGTCTTTGATGCCCTCTAACAAGCTTAAAAGCAGTAATAACCAACTCAAACTGCTAGAAATGACTGTGCATGTCAACTGGCTGATGGCTGATCATTTCTTTTGCGTAAGCATGTATTTTTGTTACCTTGATTGCTGGAATAGGCTTCTTCGGAATGAAATGCTTTTTCTCGGGAAGCACAGCAGCCATGCCCTGTTCCTTCAGTTTAATCTTGTTCTCAGCTATTATCTTTTTCCGTTGTTCCAGGTAAGGCCCAAAACTGGGTAGTTTCTGAAACAAAAATCAGGGAACATGATTATGCTTAATAAGCGGGCATAGCAAAAGATGAGTCTGATCCCAAGGGCGAGATCCTAAGTCCTTGCTGAATGTGACTTGCTTCTTATTCAGGAAGTTGACATTGAAATCAGTGAGACTGTACCAGAGTGAGAAGTGAATAAAAATCAAATATGAACTTCAGGATCTGACTTGAAAATATATATCGAATATTAAAATATTAATATACCACAGCAGAAAAATAGCTGAATTGCAGGTCAGCATCCAACAGTCTTATATTTCCCCATTGCATGCTTGCTTGTATATAAAAATGTATCATGTTAAATAATTCAAATGTGTAACTTTATTTCTATAGTACGTGGAAAGGTATCATAAAACTATCAGTTTAGTTAGAAGGGTTCCACCAGTGTTTAATATTATTTGTATGGACATCTGAATATTTCAATATATATTTTTAAAGCTTACAAACGTGTATTTTGCATTCTGATAGCAGAAGGCTGTCTTGACCTGTCAAAGTAAGGCTAACAAACACCAAATGAACTGAAACGCATTCTAATCTCCTAATTTACCTCTGTCCAACTTGCAGTCTTTCCTGCAACATTTAATCCTTGAACCCAATTAAGCAAACCCTAGAGGAAGATTTCACTGAACTGCAAAACTCACGTCTCCCCCAAGAATGTGAAAGTGCTGGTTCAGGTTTCATAAAACACCCAGCTTCCTCAAAGAAAAAGACAGACCCTTTGCTCACCTAGCAGAGACATGGACAACTGCGGTGTGCCACGATCACAGATTTAGGGGAATGAAAAATGGTAGAAAACATGGATTTTTGCTTGATGCAAAACACCATGTCCTTCCCCGCCCCCAGACGAGTTCCTTATTCTGCAAAAGTATTTTATCCACCTAACTAAACCCCGTTCAGAAGCTACTGCAGTACTGCACAAACTAGCAGGTAGTAACAGGGGATCCATAGCCTCAGCAGTTGCTAGCATTAATTCACGCTAATAATACAACCTCAAAGAGCATATTGAACAAGATACAGTACTGCTGTGGTTATCAATTTTTTAAGAGGGAATTTCAATGTGAATTTTAAAAACAGAATTATTTAAAAATTTAGAAATTATTATTTTTTAAAATGAATTAAATCCAGAAGAGGTTACCCTGCTTTTCTGTGAATCCTTAGGAGAAAAATTCCTCAATGAGCTCTGTCAGTCATGATACCCAACCTTGGGACCTGAGGCTTCTTGTTATGACAAATAAAAGCTTTCTTGGCTACTAGGTTTTTGGCACTCTGAGCATACAACCAGAGGGTGAGGTCCTTGAAATGCTTCCCTGCTTCCCAGACTTGGTTTGTGGCCTCAACGCATTGTTAACTTCAAGTCAGAACAAGACTTGCAGTCTCATGGTGCTCTCCAGAGGTGCTCTCCCTCTCCTGCAGGCTGGGGCTGAGCCGTACTCTGGGACCAAGTCTCAATCTCGGCAAATGCAAGACCAGAACTGTGGGGGATGTTGCAGACCCCATCTGTCCCAAATCTAGATGTGGCCTGAGTTTGCCTGCCAGCAAAGGGCTCTTGTGTTGTCTGTTCAATGGCAACTTTGTTCCCGAATGTCATGTTCAAGGGCTTCTTTACAGACATCAAACAAACCTTCCTTTCTGTGTGGTTGCCGTACACGATCTTGGAAAGGAAATGCTCTAGGATGTCTTAAAATAAGGCTTTAAAAATTACTGCGAACAGCAGTAAGGTAGTGGCCTTACATACCAAAGTCAAATAAGACAGCAAACCCAGAATTATTTTAAACAGGAAAATGAGTAGAAGGAAGAACTTCAATCTAATCAATAGGCTCTAAAGCACACACATAGTTACTCAATTCTTTAGATGACTTTTAGAACGCCTAAAACTTTTAGCAAAAACCTTAAAAAATACAAATTTTGATTAAAACTGTTCTTGTATGTCTGCTAGGCTGCATCAATTAGAAATACATTTTGGCTACGAATAAGTAGTAGCTGTGTCACTGAGAAACTATTTTCTCTCCATAGTTTATGTGCTGATGCCAACAACTTTGGGCTTGAGAGGGCAGAAGACATGATGACAAAGTGGTTTTGGACTGTTCCCTGTCTGGCCAGGAACTGAATTGCTGACTTTCAGAGTAGGTAGCAAAGCTAATTTTGCTGAAGTTTTAAGTGAAGTAGTAGAGAGAGGAGACAGTTCATGGCTTAACTTACTGAAGATCATCATTGGGACAAATAGCCAAATCTTTGCAGAATTTACTTTACTTTTCTGTTCTCTTAATGTATGCCCAATGTCCTAATTTCTACAGACAGAAATACTGAGTATATTGAAATAAAATAGATGTTCTAAGGAAAAGTGTGGAAAAAGAATTCATTTTTGTGTATACGGGAAGAGTGAATTACAAAGGCAATTAATTAATTTTCCAATTTGTGAGATGGAAGTATTTAGATTTTTACATCTAAGATAGTTGCTAGCTAGAATATACAGCAGATATTTTGAAAAGTGTGCAATGCCATCAGTACCCTAATTCAGATCTTTCACAATGACATGCATGCAATTAAAATATATAATCTGTATCTTTTAAAAATAAATGAAATTTTGATTAATCTAGGACACTAACATCCAACAGCAGTCTTTGCTGTTCATTGCTGGTTTTCCATTGAGAAATTGATTAAATAGAATTTAAAATAATTAAGGAAACATGTAGGTCTTAGTCCAGGTTTGGGCATCCACAATGAGCTTCCAATGACTTAAAAGAAGGTGACTGTGTGCCCATACAAATGGTCTGGTTATTTTGCGTTTGAAGTCTAGTAGTTCGCAAGCAGCCAAGCTTTCATCCAACAACGCTGAAAACCAGCAGTCTTTTCTATAACAATAAATAATACATGAAAATGTAGCCTCAGGAGCTTAGGAAGGACTTATTGATGGTTCCCCTTATGAGTAATGCACAGATACAGGGAATGCTCATGATACTGCTTATTGTTCAGAGCTGTGGTTAGAAACATTTTGGGGTCAAAGGCCATATGAAATGGCAAACAATATTTTAATGAAGTGAGTTACTGGATATAGCAAAAGTGGAAACATGCTGAAATAACCGCTGAAGAGATGGATATTTAAGAGAGTTTCAAATTAAATCACCTCTAATCATTGTAGGGGATATCTTCCTAAGCAGAATCACAGAATCACAGAATGGTTAGGGTTGGAAGGGACCTCTGGAGATCATCTAGTCCAACCCCCCTGCCAGAGCAGGGTCACCTACAGCACGTTGCACAGGACAGCGTCCAGGCGGGTTTTGAATGTCTCCAGAGTGGGAGACTCCACCACCTCTCTGGGCAGCCTGTTCCAGTGCTCCACTACCCTCAAAGTAAAGAAGTTCCTTCTCATGTTAAGATGGAACTTCCTATGTTCAAGTTTATGCCCATTACCCCTCGTCCTATCACTGGGCACCACTGAAAAAAGACTGCTCCCATCCCCCTGGCATCCTCCCATTAAGTATTTGTAAGTATTAATAAGATCCCCCCTCAATCTTCTTTTCTCTAGACTAAAGAGACCCAAGTCCCTAAGCCTTTCTCCATAGGAGAGATGTTCCAATCCCCTAATCATCTTCGTTGCCCTTTGCTGGACCCTCTCCAGCAGTTCCCTGTCCTTCTTGAACTGGGGAGCCCAGAACTGGATGCAGTTGGGTGATTTCACAGAATATGGGTGATTTCACAGAATATGGGTGATTTCACAGAATCATAGAATAGTTTGGGTTGGAAGGGACCGTTAAAGGTCATCTAGTCCAAGCCCCCTGCAATGAGCAGGGACATCATCATTTTGATCAGGCTGCTCAGAGCCCTGTCCAACCTGACCTTGAATGTTTCCAGGGATGGGGCATCTACCGCCTCTCTGGGCAACGCGTGCCAGTGTTTCACCACGCTCATTGTAAAAAATTTCTTCTTCATATCTAGTCTAAATCTACCCTCTTTTAGTTTAAAGCCATTACCCCTTGTCCTATTGCTACAGACCCTGCTAAAAAGTTTTTCCCCATCTTTCCTGCAGGCCCCCTTTAAGTACTGAAAGGCCGCAATAAGGTGTCCCCTGAGCCTTCTCTTCTCCAGGCTGAACAACCCCAACTCTCTCAGCCTGTCTTCATAGGAGAGGTGTTTCAGCCTTCTGATCATTTTTGTAGTTCTCTGGACTCATTCCAACAGGTCCATGTCTTTCCTGTGCTGAGGGCTCTAGAGCTGGACACAAGACTCCAGCTGGGGTCTCACAAGAGTGGAGTAGAGGGGTAGAATCATCTCCCTCGACCTGCTGGCCATGCTTCTTTTGATGCAGCCCAGGATTTGGATGGCCTTCTGGGCTGTGAGTGCACATTGTTGGCTCGTGTCCAGCTTTTCATCCACCAGTACCCCCAAGTCCTTCTTGTCAGGACTGCTCTCAATCCCTTCATCCCCCGGCCTGTATTGATACCGGGGCTTGCCCCAACCCAGGTGCAGGACCCTGCACTTGGCCTTGTTGAACCTCATGAGGTTCACACAGGCCCACTTCTTGAGCCTGTCCCGGTCACTCTGGATGGCATTCCTTCCCTCAGGTATGTCAACTGCACCACTCAGCTTGGTGTCATCTGCAAACTTGCTGAGGGTGCACTCAATCCCACTGTCTCTGTCATTGATGAAGATATTAAACAGTACTGGTCCCAATACAGACCCCTGAGGGACACCACTTGTCACCAATCTCCATCTGGACATTGAGCCATTGACCACTAACCTGTGGATGCAACCATCCAACCAATTCCTCATGCACTGAACACTCCACGCATCAAATCTATACCGCTCCAATTTAGAGAGCAAGATGTGGGGGACTGTGTCAAAGGCCTTACAGAGGTACAGATAGAGAATATCTGTAGCTCTTCCCTTGTCTACTGGTGTAGTCACTCCATCACAGAAGGCCACTAGGTTGGTCAGGCAGGACTTGCTCTTGATGAAGCCATGCTGGCTGTCCTGA